ACCCAAAAAAAGGGAAAACTCCCCAAAAAAAAATTTGTTTTTTAAAGGGAGTTTTTTGGAAAAAAAAAAAAAAAAAAAATGTAATGAATGTGTTTTGTATAGATGATAGGCCTACCCTAACCTGTTCAAGGAAGTTTAGTAGGTCACCTTTTAAATATTTAGCAAACACACTTGCTTTCACATCTGTGTCCGAAATTAGAAATCTTCAACTTCTTCCCACTCAGTTTTGCATTTTAAAAGTCGATGCTTCCTCCAGCTTTGGACATGAAGTGAGATTCGGAGCTTAAAAGCCGTAACATTTGATGAATTACTCAGAAACTCTCTTGCTTCCCCTTTCATCCCGTAGACCTTGTGGGAGGGAGGACTCTACAAGCTCCGAATGCTGTTCAAAGATGACTACCCGTCCTCTCCACCCAAATGTGAGTCGGTCTCTTCTAGCATCTCCGTGCATCGATAATGTCACGCTAAAGAGCACAAACAGCCAGCTATTTAAAAAGGAAGCAGGAAGAGCTCAGGAAATAATAGTGCCGGCCACAAAAACCTGTGTATAAAGTTTAACTGTTGCACTACCTGGTGCAAACCACGCAGGTTTACTGAACCGCATGGTTTGAAATGTTATCACTACAGTAAAGAGTTTGGTTAATGAGAATCTAGAAAATATTTTTATTAAGGGATCAGTTTCCGGAGTTGCATTGTAGTTGTCCTATAACACGTTGCGTGCGTGTGAAATGCATTTTTATTTTTTTTAATGTTGCATACGTGCAGAATGCCTCATAGAGTTGGGAGGTGGTGAGAAATATGAAGCATATTTTAATAGAGGTAATGTTGGAGGAAGCATGTTTTATTTAGAAGTGCAGCTTTCTGCTGACGAATTCACACCTCTTAAACTTTTCCAGATTTTCTCACAAAGTTCCACGCATTTCAATGGGATTTTTAATCGGATTTTCACCTGGAAGGAAGATGATATGTGCTTTGCAATTTGTGTTTGTGTATCTCATAAAGGCCAGATAAAACCCATTGTAAAGTGAAAAGTTTGTAAAGTTTAAGGTTTTCTGCAAGGCTCGGTGCTCAAGTTGACTCAGATCTACTCTTGTTTTAGAGACCTTGTGTGAATCACTTATTGATGGCTGGGTAATGCTGTAATACTACGTTGATTTTGTGAGTTTCTTTCAGGACTTTAGTATTTTGAACTCATTTTCAGGCCTGTCACAATAATCAATAAGTCAATTAATGGCATGATGAAGTAAAACAAACTCAATAATTTCTGTCTTCCTACCAAAAACTGGATGATAAAAGTCTTCAGTTTGGTGCTTCAGTCTCAACTAGACCTTTTTTTGAAAGACAATTTTGGTTACAAAGTCTTCAAAATTCATTTTATTTGTTGTTTTGTTTATTTTGAATATTTAAAATGTCTTCCAGTTCCCATGTCAAATGTTCATTAGATTTAAAGTTTAAAAATGTGCTCTTGCATTATTATTTTTGCTATTACCATCATATTACTTAAAAATGGTCTCAAAGCAACAATGTTATCGTTTATCGCAATAACTTCTGGAACAATTTATCGTCCAGCAAAATTTGTTATCGTGATAGGCTGACTCGTTTTTTTTTTTTTTTACTTGTTGCTTTTTCTCTAGGTAAGTTCGAGCCGCCGATATTCCACCCCAACGTCTACCCATCAGGCACCGTGTGTCTGTCCATCTTAGAGGAGGACAAAGACTGGCGGCCGGCCATCACCATCAAGCAGGTTTGGATTGCTGCGACTTCCTTTAGTTGACTAAATGTTTTTATTCTTGCCGTTTCTTTCCCCCTGGCATTTTTTTTTTTTTTTTTTGTATTTAAAGATTTTATTAATCGAATTAACAATTTGGTGTCTTTGGAGAAAAAAAGAAAATATTTAGTTGCGTTTGCGGTTTTGATTTATTAGTAGCATGACAGGAAGAGACGGGGTGGGGGAAGAAATCGAACGACTGTAGCCTCAGCTTACAGTACGACGCGCCTGCTTCACCTCGGAGCCGCACGGCGCCGTCTGATCCACTACCAACTGAGTCAACAAATCCAAATGAAAATCATTAATGACTAATGAGATTTATTTTACACATTTCACTTTGTGCAGACAGCAAATGCGTTCCTGTATGAGGATAAAACGATTCAAATCTCCTCTGCGTCGTGTCAGAATGTTTAAATAAAGACGTGCCCTCTTGATGCTTTTTGATACCGTTTACTAACGTATCAAAAAGCATCAAGCAGCGCAGAGACGATGCAACACGGTCTGACTTCTGTCCTAGAAAACCCGTTCAACTTTCCGTCCTAAAAACGCTGCATGTTGCATTATCTATCCACTCGTAGAAAAAGTCTGGTGGGTATTTTTGGCACGGTGTGTTGCATCAGTCTGACTGCTGCAGCAACAAAGTGCAAATAAGGTTGAATTACAGTCCTGCTCACCATTATTGGCACCCATGAAGTTTAAGTACATATAATGGAATATTTACTGAAGGAAATTCATCAAGTGAAACAACATTTTACTGCTGATAGCTTGTGCTTGATGCAAAACAGCAAATGATAAAAAAACATTTAAAAAGATAAACATTATGAGGAAAACAAAGAAAAAACATCATTTTTACCATGCCAATGGTATTGGCACCCTTTGCTGCAAATCAATATGAAAACCCAATTTGGCTCACCTGTTGCAAATCATACATAAAGATCACTTGTGATGGACTGCCGCCACACATGTGACATGAATTAACCAATGAATAATCATGCTGGTGCTTTAAAAGCCACCTGTTAGTTCATCTCCACATGTGACAATGGTAAAGACAAAGGAGCTGTCTGAGGACATAAGAAATGCTATTATTTTCAAGCACAAGTCCTCCAAAGGATATAAAGCCATCTCCAAAGACCTTGGTGTCCCTGTTTCAACGGTGCGTAATGTTATTAATAACAGGCATAGAACGGTCAAGAACCTCCCTGGCCGTGGGGGGAAGAGAAAAATTGATGACAGAAGTCTTCGACGGTTGGTGCGAATGGTGGAAAAAACACCACATCTAACATCTAAAGACCTAAAGACCAGCCTGGAGCAGTCTGGTGTGATTGTTTCAACAAGTACCATACGCCGCATACTAAACAAAGTGGGGCTTTATGGGTGGAGGCCAAGGACATCACAAGCATTATGAAATCAGAAGATTATCAAGCAATTCTAGAGCGAAATGTCTTGCCCAGTGTAAGGAAACTTGGTTTGCGGCGAAGATCCTGGGTCCTCCAGCAAGACAACGACCCAAAGCACACCTCCAAAAGCACACAGGCATTGTTGAAAGGGAAAAAATGGACTGTTTTAAAATGACCAGCAATGAGTCTTGATCTCAATCCAATTGAAAATCTTTGGGTGGAGCTGAAATCTGCCATTGGAGGAAGGAACCCTGCAAATGTACAAGAGCTTGAGCATATTGCAAAAGAAGTGTGGGAGAAAATGCAAGAAGCTTTTAGATGAATATAAGAAACGTTTGGAGGCCGTCATTGCTGCCAAAGGCTGTGCAACCTAATATTAAAGAGAGATGTCAATATTAGTGCACACGCTGGTTTTCTGTTTTGTCCTTTGGAATTAAAATATTTATGTTGAAATGGTAATTGTCTTTGTTAGATTACTTTGGACCTCAAATTGAAAGATCCTGCTGATATAAGTTTTGAACATTTCCATTTATTTCTGAATATATTCACTCAGCTACGCAAATCATGAAGGGGTGCCAATAATGGTGGGCAGGACTGTAAGTGGAAAAAGCAACAGCCTGTTGCATAACAGAGCTGCTTTGCTTTTTCCTCTACCGACAACCAGCTACTCTAGTTGCCTTTTTGCCAAAGTAAAAAGCTACTTAGATTTTTTTTTATTGTTCATGCAACCTTTAATTAGAACATGTATTTTAGAGGAAGTGTGTGTGTGTGTGTGTGTGTGTGTGTGTGTGTGTGTGTGTGTGTGTGTGTGTGTGTGCAAGTAGTAGTTTATTTCAAGCTGGGAAGTTCCTTTGTGACAGTGAAGACTAGATGAACAAACTAAGTAATTAACTTAAAACAATAAGAATTTTAAGAGGTTAACAAATTGAAAATAATCTACAACTTGCTTCAAATCACAGATTATATTCACTTAATGGGCAAATGTGACGGTAAGCTAAGAGGAAGCCTAAACTAAAGCAACTAGGAGCAAGTAAGGATGGAAATCCCCTCAGTTTAAAATCACACTAATGTTGTTTTTACTGCTTCCTGCCATCAGTGTGTGTGATCATGTCATAAATTTCTTTAAAAAAGTAAAAAAAAAAAAAAAAAGAGTAGATTTGTTTTTTTGGGGGATGTAATGAGTGCAGAACATTTTCTGTTTAGATCCTGCTGGGCATTCAGGAGCTGCTGAACGAGCCCAACATTCAGGACCCGGCACAAGCAGAGGCCTACACGATTTACTGGTGAGTGTCTGAGTCGGCCTGCTGCAGGACGACCACCACTGGAAACGTATTCTTTAGGAGAGTGGAAGTTGGTCATTTTGGTTTCCTATGTTTGAAAAATTACTTCTTGCATGCACCCAAAAAATGAGGTGCTCAAGTTTGAATTTATCCATGCATCCTCAACTCTATACCTTCAGGAAAATAACAGAAAGCAACAAAAATTGGGAGGAAAATCTGCATTAATCTCAATTATGCATTTTTTTCTTTTTTCTTTTTTTTTTTTTTTTAAATATCGCTCAAGTCTAATTTGCGTTTTTGTGTTTCAGTCAGAACAGGATGGACTATGAGAAGCGGGTCAGGGCACAAGCCAGGAAGTTCGCTCCCACATAGAGGGGAGGATCAGCCGGAGGCGACAGGAAGCACCTGAAGGACCACTCCAATAAGAATCTGTTTAAAGTATTATTACACTGTCCCACAGGTGAAAAGCAAAGCATCTTTTCTTTTTCTTTTTTTTTTCCTTTGTCCCTTTTCAAACTACAAAAACACAAATGATTGTACATGTAATAAGTATTTTTGCATTTTAAATGCATTAGCGTTGGCGCAAGTGCTCAGCTCACTCATTTCGTCAAGCTGTACAAATAAGAACCCACTCCTAAATCCTCCGAAATCCTCAACTGGTTTTGTTTTGCAGTAAAGAAGGACGTTTCACACGGTTTACCTTCTTCCCAACCATTAGTGCTCAGACGTTAGTGTGCTTATGTGTCCATTAGTGTGCCTACAACTGGAGATAAGGCTAGAAATTATACACACCGGTCAGGTTGGAGTCAAAAGAAAAAGACAATCCTGATGCTTGTTATGAAATCGGCAGAGGAGGAAGTACGTCAGTATATCTTGGCTCTGGAATGAGAAAAAGCAGAGAGAGTCGAGTCTTTTCTCCACATACTCCTCTGTTTTTCCAGTTTGAGACACTTGGTGTATAGATTGTCATTGTGAATCCAGCTGAAAGTGATGAAATCATTCGTTATCAGTGTGTCGTCCCCTTCTAAGATACTGTAGCTTCATGTAGATAAGCTCCATTGTGGGGAGGGAAAAAAACAAATCAAAAGCAAAGCGGTGACTGTTAGTCGTTGGCCACTTTCATTTGGTCATTTCTAAACCAACAATGCTTCCACGTCTATGAAAAAACAAGTCCGAACCGGCTCCGAAGGATCCCCGTCGGAACGGCCTCTCTGCAGCAAAGACGGACTGAAGAAAGTGCACTTGTGAATAAACTGAGGCCTGACTTTCTCTTTTCTGTGGGCCTCTAAATATGAGTGCATGTACATAATATAAATAAACTGTGGAAGTAATGTTTTATATTATTTTAGCCAGTTGATAAACATTGTATGTGGTTATTGTAAGAAAAGGAAATAAATGATCTAAAAATTGTCAAATAAAGTGAAATGAAAGAATCGGTGGATGTCTTTCTGGGATGTTTTCTGTATAGCGAATAGAGATCTTTTGGATTTTTTTTTCTTGACCTACAGAGCCTTGCTAAAACATTTTGTAATGCAACAACCGCTCTAATTAATCTTAAATGGATTTTATGTCATAAACTAACAGTTTTGTGCAAAACTGGGTGGAAAATACATAATTTTCGAGAAGGACCTCGCTGCAGCAAACAGAAAGGGCGGGGACGGACCATTGTCAGTCTCTTACCGTATTTGGAAATGGGGCCATTGCAATCCGGAAGTGAAGGGAGCGCTATTTCCTATACTTCCGTTTTTATTTTCTTTTGAAATCTGTGATATATTTTCACCTTTAGGAAGGAGTTTCATCACTCTCAGAATGTATTTGAACTTCTCTCTTATTTACTTCACAGCAGCTCACAGTTTTTAGCAAATTCTGTAGCTTTCGGTGTACTTCTAAATCTGTTTCTTAGTGGCATATTTTCGGGGCCTGCTACTGCCTCTAGTGGCGTGGGGGTGGTAACACAACCATTACAATTACATTACTAAATCAGAATACCTCAAAGTCTTTATTATTTACTATTAATTCTGGCATTACTGGCACCGTAAAAGACAAATTTCCTCACAAAACAACATATTTTTTCATTTTCTTAAGGATGTAGAGCTAATTAAACAACAAACAATACTTTCATACATTACAAATAATATCTATGTATCTCCATCAATTATAGGAGGAACAAAAGAAATAAGGAGACATGAAAAACAACATAATCAACTATAATAAAAATACCATTTGCAATGTATACGTAAGAAATTTAATTGAGCAAAGTCAATAACA